TCAGGTGCAACCAGTCGAAATCCCCGTATTTGGTTTGAACTCGAGGAACGACGCCGGAGGGTTACTGAGTGGGATGATTCTAAAGTTATGTGTAGACCTAGCTGGTGACTAATGCTTGTCAAGTTATATAGAGGCGAGCAAACCACCTAGTGACCTGTAGAAAATATCAAAAGACAGCCGTTAGATCAGCTCCACCAAATAAAAGTCTGGATCACCCAGTTGGGCATTATGAACAACAGTTGGGCCGATCATCTGTTACTGGTCGGCCGGGCTGCTGAGCTGCAATGTAAAGTATGGAAAGCGAACTAGGTCTTGGAAGTATAGAACCATAATTTTGAAGTGCAATCAACACCCAGGCCCCGACAATCTCACAGCTCCTCCGTAGAGTAAAATATTCGATAAGTGATCATTGGACCTGTCTGCTATGAACCTGGAAAGAGCAAGATCGTATCGGATAACTGGTGTGAAAATACTGTCACATTTACCGTATGCATCATATCACATATATTCCAAACCCCTTGAATTTCGTTGGCCCATGTCCTTCTAAAAATGCTCGCTCATTAGGTAATTCTCCAAACGATTGTAGAATACGACCATCAACGCGTGTGACAGCAACATCAGAATTTGACCACGGTGTCAACCAGGTTCTGCCCCATGGTCTGATGCCTTAGACCATGGAGGAAATCAGCAGTAATTCTTTAGTCAGGTTTTTAACTCTTTTGCAGTGCGACAGCCTTATCTCGATAGTGGATGTAAGGCGCCATAAAACTTCCCTAAAAATGTGCAGTAGACAAGCACCCAGGCTAATGTCGTCAAGTGACGGTCACTGAGGCTGCTTTTAATGTTATCACTCATTTGTTTGATACCTAGAATATGATAGGAAACTGAAACCTAAACAGGACAGTTAGGATCTTCAGCAGCTCAGACACTTAACTGCAAGACATAAGGTTATTAGACAAGGCTGAATTTTAGGAAACACATTTAAACACCATTTTCAAAGTGCCCAAAGGGTTTCCTACCTTACGGCTGAAAGAACATACTAAGCATATATATATATATATATATATATATGCTTAGTATGTTCTTTCAGCCGTAAGGTAGGAAACCCTTTGGGCACTTTGAAAATGGTGTTTAAATGTGTTTCCTAAAATTCAGCCTTGTCTAATAACCTTATGTCTTGCAGTTAAGTGTCTGAGCTGCTGAAGATCCTAACTGTCCTGTTTAGGTTTCAGTTTCCTATCATATTCTAGGTATCAAACAAATGAGTGATAACATTAAAAGCAGCCTCAGTGACCGTCACTTGACGACATTAGCCTGGGTGCTTGTCTACTGCACATTTTTAGGGAAGTTTTATGGCGCCTTACATCCACTATCGAGATAAGGCTGTCGCACTGCAAAAGAGTTAAAAACCTGACTAAAGAATTACTGCTGATTTCCTCCATGGTCTAAGGCATCAGACCATGGGGCAGAACCTGGTTGACACCGTGGTCAAATTCTGATGTTGCTGTCACACGCGTTGATGGTCGTATTCTACAATCGTTTGGAGAATTACCTAATGAGCGAGCATTTTTAGAAGGACATGGGCCAACGAAATTCAAGGGGTTTGGAATATATGTGATATGATGCATACGGTAAATGTGACAGTATTTTCACACCAGTTATCCGATACGATCTTGCTCTTTCCAGGTTCATAGCAGACAGGTCCAATGATCACTTATCGAATATTTTACTCTACGGAGGAGCTGTGAGGTTGTCGGGGCCTGGGTGTTGATTGCACTTCAAAATTATGGTTCTATACTTCCAAGACCTAGTTCGCTTTCCATACTTTACATTGCAGCTCAGCAGCCCGGCCGACCAGTAACAGATGATCGGCCCAACTGTTGTTCATAATGCCCAACTGGGTGATCCAGACTTTTATTTGGTGGAGCTGATCTAACGGCTGTCTTTTGATATTTTCACTAATAGGAGATTTTCTAGGTAATCTCCGTTTCAAAGATTATTTGCCGCATGCACCCCGTCAAGTTTACATTGCTCTTGATAGCTTTCTTTAAATTTCTTACCGTTCTTACCGTACGTGATATGAATATCTTCATGCCTCAAATCGAGTGCTTTTGAGGGTGGCAAGAAGGTGCTCGTTTGTTGCTCCTCGGGATATTCTGCTACGCTCTAAATGACACCATTTAATTTGTTTCACTTATTTTAAGTTTCCCTCAAAGCCTAATTTTATTTTGCCCATCTGGTTGTCGTTCAAAGTTGTTAGTTTAATTCACCCGGGTGGCTTATCTTATTAAAACCTGACAGTTCGAAGTTAGGGTGGTTAATCGTAGTTTGGAGAACCGTAATGTTTTCAATGTCATTCAGAATCATTACACCTCAAGTTTCAGTGTGCACCGTTATAAAGAACCTTCAAACACATCCATGTACATATTCACCCTTAATGTTTCCACGTTATAATCCCTAACTGCGAATTCAAAGCACAATAATAAATGACATAACACCATGAGGTTGGTGAAGGCTATCTGGTGGTCCGGCGTCGATATCGTCCTTCTTAGCATTCATCAGGTTGTCCCAGGGTTTTCAGTCAGTCTTATTTCCTACGTTCAGTGCCACCGTTTGTCTAATAAACAGCCCCATCCTTTTCTTTACCCCACTCACTTCCCAAAGGCGTAACCTTCCACATTCCTGATACGATCATGGGACTGACATTCATCGCGGCTGGTTCCAGCGTGCCCGATGCCATCGCAAGTATATTGGTTGTACGGGAAGGTGAGTTTTCTCTTTTGGTTTGGTTTTTACTCGCATGCGCACGACAATTCATTTTTGTTATTCCGCACCACATCCTAGACAGAATTTCGGCAGTACCGTTTTGGGAGAGAATTTCACTTTTGTCCCGATTAACTAGATTAATGACGTTCACATTGCTCTCTCTTATTGGACGCTGTCATTTCTGCCCCTTTTCGTTTTTCTTCCCATCTGCACTGTCTGGAGAGCGTCTGCTAGTGAACTGTTTTCTCGCATTGATTTGAGGGGCCTAATTATAATCCGACTCACATACTTTAGTGATCAATGCAGGCTCTTCATCGACCTAATTTGCAGCAATTAGGTTTTATACGATTGGCTAATTCGTACACATCAGAAGCTAAATGGGAATGAGCAGTTTTGCTTGCCTGCATTCGGAAAGGTAACCGGTGAGGCAGAGCTGCCCGGTAGACACGCGTGAATGTCGCATTCAGTACGGTTAGGCGGGTAGGAAAATCCGTTGTTGTTTCCAATACGATTAACGATTCTAGTTTAATCGTTTTCACCTATGTTTCCAAAGCATTATATTATTTCTCACCCGTTAGTTCGATTGTTTTCGCAGTAATCTTTCTGTAAAATGGTTGACCTCATAAAGCTAGTTCTCAACAGTGCAGTTTATTTTGCTTCCTTTCCTCATTTGAGTCAAGGAACCGTCTATTCTTAATGAACTGTATTGGAAAAGCAGACATAATATCTGGCGAGCGAATAATGGATAGACCCGTTTCTTTTTAGCAACACTTTCCACGTAAAACTATTCCGCTTGTCTGTATGTCCCATACTATCCTGTCTTCCAGTGATCGAAACTGTAGCAGCTGGAACCCGTATGCCTATGGTACACGGTTTATAGCTGATAAATTGGACTGAATTGATTATTAACTCTTCAGCATACCTTATAATAACTAATCTCTTACAGGATTATCTTTCCAACAACCAGTTGTTCAAGAAGAATACCTTCAGTTCTATATATATCCTGGAAATGTTTGACGACCTCATGCTTTTGAATTCACTATACTTTGAGCTTTGGAAGATTTGTTCTCCAGTTGTCACATTATATATATATATATATATA